GTGTGTGTGTGTGTGTGTGTGTGTGTGGTGTACGCGCGTATACGTATATATCATTTGGAAATCGCGTAACGATCCGAATGGACGATAAAAGGGATTTTACGAGCGCACTAATATTCAACTGTTTAACGTTCGCTCGTAAAATTTGCCGCTCTGCCTGTCGCGCGTAAAAACAATAACAATCTCGTTATTTGTTCAAGCGGCGCGGCGGCGCGTCCAAGTTCGTCGCTGGATTTCGCGGATATATCCGGCGCGCCGCCGTCGAAAAAAATTCCACGGGGAAACTTCGTCGACGAGATATTGCCAATAAAAGCAATTTTCCACCGCTCGCTTCGGCACACCGGCCACTGCGAATCGCGCTACTTTGTTGTCGCAACGGCATTTATCGAAGCCCCGGCGTCTTGGCGTCGTTATTTTAATCATTTCCCGTCGCTCCTCTACGTCACGTACATGATTCGTTCCTCTCTTAGGGTGGTAATCCCTATAATTTTCGTTACTCTAAAATTGATATAGAGACGGATTCTTCGCGCTATTGGGATAATTACCATGTCGCGCGAATCACTCTAAGTGGTCTATTAGTTGAAGCTGCTGCTTGCTTTTATAGAGCTGTAATTGCGGTTTACGGTTTACTTTGTAGATTATAACGGATCTTTGAAAAATTATCGTCGTCGCACAAGGCAGGTGCGACATACACCGTCACGCTCTGCGCTTCGCGCGGATATTCGGTTCCTCAGAATTGTGCAGCGGGAAATAATAGCGAAATTGTATACCAAACTTAATTCACTAAACGTTACTTTAAATAGAAATAACAAGGCGTTTGTTTCATTAAGTCGCGAGTATTACGTGAAAGAAGAACGGAACGCCAGATAGTCGTGGAAAGGCTGTGTTGATAAAACGAACGATCTATACACACAGAAAAATACAGGCCGTATTTAAGTAAATATTATTTGTATTTAAATAAATATTATTTGTTTAAAGTATTTCAAAAGTTTACGTATCCGCAAATCATAGATTCATTGTAAGCATTAAGTTTATTCAAAATATATTAGCAAGTGTAATACTTAAATGAAGAATATCAAATTAAATTAAAAAATTAGTTTAGCCTAACTAAATCTAATTGTTTTTCGATAAAATTTTATAACAAATTTTCTTTAAAAGAAAATAATTTTTTTTTAATGCATGATAGTGAGTTTCTCTAAAATTTGTGACAAGTATATTTTAAGATTATTATCAAGAAAGTATTCTTTATTAAAGATAAGCGTTACTTAAAATTTACTTAGCAATAGAGTGAATATTTTTCTGCGATTTTTCTGTGATAATTTTCCGCGTGCTTAAACATGCAAATATTTCAGACGATCCGCACGATGATAGATCTGTGAGATCGGCGAAGTTTTCACCGCGGCGCTCGTTATTATGGATCAGATGAGAAAAGTAGGAGTTTAAGTACGCTTTCGAAATACGTGTCGGCGCTCGCGTGGCACCCGGTAGCTGACCGGAATGGCTTATAAATGGGAGGCCACGACGAGGGGGCGAAAAAGTTTTATCAGACATCGAACACCGGTAGTTGGTAGGAACGCCCGAGTAGTTTGGCTTAGTTTCCGTTTTCTCGTCGAGGAGCGCCCGGTACGGGAATTATATCAAGCAAAAGTATCAAGAAATACGTTCCCGAAGCTTATTGCTGTTGTTTTCAACTGAAATAATGGTCCGCGCCGGGTACCGCGTCTATTGGCCCTTATATCGGGAGTGTGTGTGTGTGTGTGTGTGTGTGTGTGTGTGTGTGTGTGTGTGTGTGTGTGTGTGTGTGTGTGTGTGTGTGTGTGCG